TCGTTCTTTTTGATCCATATCACCGTGCTGAATAAACAATAAAGCAGTATAGTTCATTTATACTACACAAGTCTTTTCTACATTTCCCCATCTCTATATAGTTCTGTACGGACTACGCGGTTATAGGACTTATTAATTCAGCTCAAGTCTGTTTCTTAGGTAGTCAAAACCACATAGTTTCTGAGAGATTGTCGTTAAGATTCTATTGTCAATCAGTTTTATGTATTTATTCAAATAATAAAATAAATAATAACGGCTGATTTTCTTGTTTGCTATCCGGCTAAGTCCAGTACATTTAACCAACTGATTGATTGACAGCTGTATGTTTGGTAATATTAGCCGCAAAAACTTTTATTTTTTCATATAGTCCTGTACGGACTACGCGAGTATAGGATGTGTTAGCTTAGCTCAAGTCTTTTTGTTAGGTAGTTCAAACCACATAGTTTCTAAGCGATTGTCGTTAAGATTCTTTTGTCAATCAGTTTTATGTATTTATTCAAATAATAAAATAAATAATAACGGCTGATTTCTTGTTTGCTATCTGGCTAAGTCCAGTACATCTGACCAACTGATTGATTGACAGTCGTATGTTTGGTAATATTAGCCGCAAAAACTTTTATTTTTTCATAACTTACCATTGCTGATACAGTAAAATCACGAGCACGCATTTTTTCTGTTAACCAATCGACTTTTCGCCGAGTATTGCAAAATATGACTGCTTGTGTAATTGTTACTGTTTCATAAAGATCACACAATGTATCTAGTTTCCAATCCTACAAAAATATGCAAAGGAAAACATTAAGTAGGTGAATTTAACATTTTATGAAGAATTAACAATCAGTTGTTAATTCTTCGTCAAATATCAATAAAAATACTTACTTCACGTTCAACGGTTACATAAAATTGTCGAATACCTTCGAGTGTGAGTTCTTCTTTTTTCACAAGAATTTTGATTGGATCATTCATAAATTTTGTTGTTACGTCTAATACATCACTAGGCATCGTGGCAGATAACAGAATAACCTATGATAAGACGCGTAATGACAGAAAACTTTTAACATTTTCAACTTGATATCCAAACTAACTTGAATACTCTGAGGCATCGTCGTAAATACATCATAAATCTGTTCTTTAAAACCACGTGACAACATTTCATCGGCTTCGTCTAACACAAACATTTTAATGTTTTTATTGCCTAAACAGAAAACAGAAGTATATTGAAATACAAGAAAAACCGAAGTCAGCTGTACTATAAACTTACGAAGTGCTTGGCGATTTAACATATCATATACACGTCCAGGTGTTCCAACAACAATTTGAACGCCTTGTTCAAGACGTTTGATATCATCACGAACGTTTGTGCCACCAATACAAGCATGACACGTGGCATTCATATAATCGCCTAATGCTAGCACAACTTTTTGGATCTAAATAAAAGCGATCTATATGAGCATCACTGCAAGAAAAAATATCAAAAGTAGCATAGAGTTTCTCAAAATAGACTGACTGACAGTAAGCGATATTAAGCAAAAGTCATGAGTTTCCTGGAGAGACGTACCTGTTGAGCTAACTCTCTTGTTGGTGCTAAAATAAGAGCTTGACACTCTTTGAAGTCAAGATCTAATTGTTGAAGAATAGAGATGGCGAATGTAGCTGTTTTTCCTGTTCCGGATTGTGCTTGCGCAATAACATCGCGACCTATAGGATAGTAAGAAAAACAATATGAAGAAATGTATTGTTTGAGCCATCAAAGATGAATCATCTCACCTAATATGCACGGTTTAATAGCACGTTGCTGGATAGCGGATGGCCGTTCGAAACCATAACCATAAATACCACGTAAAAGTGGTTCACGCAAATTCATCCCATCGAATTGTTCGACCACTTCTGTCCAATTACTCTCGATGACCCCATCTATGTGACAGAAAAAAAAATTAAACCAAACGTTGTCCTCACTATGAAAGATTCTTACCGGGTTCCATCGATGGAACTCCTGAATTTTGGTTGGTTTTGGTGTCATCTCTAGTGAAGAAAGAAGAAAAATAATCAACATAACATGACAGCAAACGGATCTAATACTTGTCTCTAGACATTTTGGTTTAATGAATGCATAATAAAAGCGAAGAAGAGTATGTATGCAAGTTTACTGATTATATGAAATAGACAGAAAGAGTGGACGGCATCAAGCGTCCCAAGTTCACCGTTAAAGAGGAGAAAGAATTACTATGGCTTATTTGACAGGTGCATTTACTGGGAAAGTATTCTGAACTTAGAAAATAAATCGTAGATATTAGATTTAGTTTCTTTAATACAGTATTCTGTATTTTATAGAATGATTTTTACGGTGTTTGTATAAGTTTAAAATGATAATGCACAATGTACGGAGGCTTAGTGAAGTAAAGAGGAGTAGCATAGCGACGCATAAGGCAGGAACGTTGTTAATGGCATAGAGAAATCACATTTTTATGGTCATTCTAAGGCATCCACAAATTTCTATCCATAAACGCTACAATCGCCGTAAAATTTCGAAATTTCACGGTGATAGTAGAGATTTATGCATAAAATTGATGGATACCTTGATTTGACTCTTTTTTTGTCTCAATGACATAGACAATACTGGAATCACTAGCATCAATTTTCCAGTCAACTATGATCAAGAATTGATTTGACTCAACCATTAGAAACTTGAAATAACGTAATCTTACTGCCCATACTTTTCTTACGCAGTTTTGGCTAACTCAGCTAATTATGTTTGTGTTTGTGAATATTTCCCAGTGACGGATTCAGAATTTTTCTTAGGCGCATGCGCTAGGTAAGGAAAATATGAGGTACGTGCGATCGCCATAGAAACACAGTTTTGCTGGGTATTATGTTTTTTCAATTTTCCAATAATGCTATCACAAATTTCTCGTGTAGAAAAAGAGCTTACCGAAAATAGAGTGCGTTAGAGATCTGAGCAGTTGAGATTCTAATACTAAAGTACACCGTAGTGTTTTGCGTATTTTAGCTAAAATTTTACGAAGAGCGAACTGACTTTTAAATGACAGATAAATAATGGCGCTTGGATCGGATTTATTTTGCAATTCCATTGTATTGAGTAGCGAAAATAAATACCGTTTATCTTACTTATTATTTTACGTGTCTTTGGAGTACGTAATTCTAACTTACAATAAATTGTTAGTCTGTTGGACAACTGCACCTTATGGACCCAGGGCCTGCAAATATCAGCCAAACATTAGGGAGGAATGTAAAATAAATTTGTTCTCTGAGGTGGTGTAAAATTGATAAAAAAAATTTTGTGCGACGGATAATTGATAAACTAACAACAGCTTTTTCAATTATTCAGAGAGGTGCGCACTCTCCTACACTCTCCCGCTATTTGCGGCCCTAGATGGGTCACGGTGTTGTATCGTTATTCGCGCAAATTTTGACGCAAAATTGACTCCGCTTAGGATCACAGAATATATGGATAGTTTCATTTTAAAAAGGTAATGTTAGTACTTAACTCTCATCTCAAATTTACAACATAATAAAAGAGGTTTATTTCTTCGGTGTTTGTCTTAAAATTTCTAGTTCTTTCAATCATAGAAGATTGTCACTACATTAAACCGGGAATACTGCATTTTACCTTTTTTTTAATGAAATAGATGAATATTATATATAATAAATGTGATTTCTTTACGCATTTAATAGCGTTCTTTTCTTACACACCAGCATATTGACACTCTTCGTAATACAAATGCACATTTGCACAATGTACACATCTTCGTAAAGATCATGCACTGCAAAGTAGAAAATAAATTATAGAAAAAGAAAGGTGATTTTCAAAGAGGTGCATAGGCCGATAATTTTCTAGAAATTCAAAGCTGATTTTTATTTTTTACTGGAAGATTGCCGTCGAATTTATATATAGATTCTCTAAAAATCGCCCTCGATTTCTACTAGGAAACATTTTTTACTTGGTGGAAAACTGATACCGATTTTCAGTCATCGTTACACTGGTTGCCCTCCATGACGGGAGAAGTGATTCATAAAAATATTAGATTGTGCTAAAGTCACTAGAAAAAATTGACATGTCTGAACATGTCAACTTCCAGCGAATATTGCATGTGCTTATATACTGATGTAATATAATAGCAAAGCAAAAAGTGAATGAAAAAAATTAGAAAGTTTTCTAGAAAATCAAAACGGATTTTATAAAAGTCCGTGTTCATTTTCAACTTGGTAAAAAATCAATTTTCTAGTTTTTAGAAATTGTTGATTTTCTAATTTGTTAAAAAATTGAACAGCATATTATAACCATTTTAAAATGTTTGAGCATTGTCTACGTTCATTTTCTATGAAGTAGAAAATATGTCCTGTTAAAACTGTTATTCCGACTTCTATAATTTGTCTACTTTAAAATTCTCGTTTAAACAATTAACCAAACCGTGTAATGCTCTTGGACATGAACAACGGATATGAGTTGCGAATCTCGTATCATTCGATGTCCATTCTAGAAACGATATGATATTCATATTGGAAAAAATCATCTATCTTTAAAGTATTAATTATTCCTGCTGAACCATTGAAATATTGATCATTCAAATTGGTCACATTCTACTGTCTCACATTAAACAAAGTTTACTGTTACTCTGTTTTAATTCTTAAAATATATATTTTGAAGTATAATAACATAAAAATGGATCAAAACAACTAAATGGTATAAAAAAATAATATAAAAAGAAAGTCAAATACTAAACTTTGAGCACTATGCACTTTATGTCTATGTAATAAAATAATAATTGAGTCATGAGAGACAATTATGAGCCTCAAAAAGTTTTAAAAGCTTTACTTTTAGACTATGGATGTCACGTCGGTTACTGTATTTTAGATCGAAACAATGACTTTCAATGTTCCTACGCTATGCTAGCTATTAAGGTAGTAAAAAACAAAAGAAAAAAAAATTTTTTGAAAAAAAGTGCAGATTATTTTTGAATAATAATGTCTTTTTAAAATGTTTATACTTCTGTAGTTCTTGGTTCGTATGCCGATGCTCGTTTATTAAGATAGAACAATCGATTCGATAAATAACCATCATCTGGAATAGCCGAAATATTTGATGTCGAAGAATGTAAACATCTAAGAGATGATATACCGCCTAATTGTGAAATTGTAATCGAATTTCGATTATTATTCGCAATATGACTCACATGTTCAAAATTTACTGGTCCACTAATAGCCGATTTTTTTATTAATCGTATTTTTGATAAACTTCGACATCTTCTTAATTCATGATTTTGATCGTTATTTTTTGTTGCAAGAAATGTTGGTTCCAGTGTAGATGATACTTTTGGTTCGGATGATCGTGCTGTCGAACGTATTTTAGAATAACGTCTTGGTGTTTTTTCACGATTGTCTGCTTTTGGAGGCAATTGATGATTTTCATTCATTAGCAGTTTTCGTTCACGTTCGAGTATTTCATGATATTGTCGAAAAAATAGGCGACATGCATCATTTTTATCAAATTTAAAAACGGCTAACATATTTTGTTGAGGTAACCAACAGGTAACAAAACCTTCTTTAGGTAAACGTATTTCTGATTGTTGACTAACAAGACATGTCCATACTGTAAAACAACTTCCATTTTCAACAAGTATAATTTTTATTTCTCTCAATCGTTTTAGATTTGCTCCTGTATTGTAAATCAACACAGGTATTCCACGCTGTTGACATGACCAATCTTCAAAGTTGGCCATTTGTTTTGTTGTTGTTGTATAAAGATGTGCCATAGATCGACTTGCTTTTACCAGAGTACCTACACTTCCATAAAAAAGTTCAATTTTTTTAACATCGATTTCTACATCTGAATGAAAATCTTCCGGTTGATTACGTGATAATATTGAATGCAATGAATCAGGAATTAAAGTAGAACAAGATGATGTAGATACAGTTCGAGAGGTACGATTGGAGATTGACGAATGTCGCCGGGGTACAACTGGCGGTTGAATAGGAAGAGGTGGTTTTGAACGATAAACGACAGGTGTTGAAGAAGGCGTCAAGCATAGAGCATTTGGATATGAAGGCGGTTTTCGATTAATTATATTGTTATCAAATATTTGTCCAAATCGTTTATCATCGTTCAGTTGTAAATTACTAGTATTCGATAAATATTGTTCATTTTTAATAGAGTCATGCTGATCATCACTTATCAGTTCTGCATGTGATTGTGATTTTGTTCGATTGATTAATGGTTTAACGACGACAACTGTTTTATCTTCATATCGATGGCGAAGCTCGCCTACATTAAACGTTGGTTTATTGACTGTTGTTGAGTTTGGTCGATCATAACGTATTGTAGTAGGATAATGATTTTTTTGACTTACAGAAACAGAAAATGATCCACTACTAGTATTCGTTTCATAATCAATTGGATAGGATTGTTGTTTTGGATAAAAATAAGAATTTGCATACGAATTATCAGATACAGTAGTCGTAGTTGGATATACAATTTGTTGTTGTCGTAATTTAGGAGAAGAATCTAATGACCATCGACTTTGAAGACGAATTTTTTGTTGTGATGATGGATACAAAATGAACGATGTTGGATTATTCATTTAACTATAAAAAAAATCTAAAAATAAAAAGTAACAATTAGTCTATACTATTGAACATAAAATCTGATAGTTTGAAAATTAGAATATATTTCTAATCGATTATTTTATAATGTCATACATTGTTACTTTAACAATTATTATTTTAAAAAGAAAACTAATTCTCAAAAGATTTTATTTTAGACATATATATTTATCACCTATAAACACAAGGGATTTTGTTCTTCAGTTTGTATGCTATACTTACTACTAAAAGTATTAAAAACATTTATAGAATCTATACAAGTAAAAATTATACGGCTGTTGTATATCTCAATGTGGACACTCTATGAATAAATGTTATTATTATTGTTATTATTATTATTATATGTTCAACGAGAATATATTTCTCGACTAGAGAGATAATCAGTCGTCATTATTTTCTTGTGGAAAAAAAAATTACCGAATTATACATACATCTCCGTTCCCAAATAGTTCTTTCCCTTTCATATATTATCTACAGACAAAAGAAAAGTTGAGCATGGACACATTTATCACCACATATCAAGTCGTTAAAACGAATATGTTTATTTCATACGGTTTTTTTCTGCTTCGCTCAATCATTTTTTTTTTTCTTTCTTCTTTTCTTTATTCAATAACGTTGATGAGTTAGTTATTGTATGTTATACGACTGAAAGAAAGAAAGAATTTATCAAAGCGAATTGCGTGACAGATCTGATGATCTTTTGTCCCATATATTCTTTTGTTCGATATTTAAATTAGAGCAAGAGTCAATTCTTTTTCTTTTTTTTTTTTTCTTCCTCCGTGTATAATCAATGTAATGTTTACTATTGAACAAATAAGAAACAAAATTGACAAACATTTATGATTTCAATTACATATTGAATCACATTTTACAAAATCGAATATCTTCTATTAGAATCTTTTTTTAAAAACAGATGTCTGTGTTCATACTAGATAAATCTGAAATGTAAAATCTATACAATCATTTTAATTTATTATGTATCTAAGATATTACACTACTTTTTAACTGTTTAAATAACTGAATAAAACAAAAAATTCAAATATATGTTATTGTCAAAATTTTATAACTATCCATTCCTCTCATTGTATCGTTTATTTTAATTTTTTTTGTTTTACTTGGATTAACAGTCCAAAATTGCAGCAAGAAAAGAAGACGTAAATGTACTGGATTCTGCTTGAAATAAAACATCTGAACTATCTTAATATAAATATAAATTATTGTTGAAGAGAACATTCTTATCCGGCAAATTATGCATAGTAGAATGATGATCATTACAAATATATTCATATGTTATCAGAATTGTCTCGATAATGGAAAACATTAATAAAAACATGCAAAGTGTTAATGGTCAGTTAGACAAAAAATTGCTACTTTCTTTTTATCTGTTGTATTACATAATCTCTGTTTAACAAACAACGATTATTCATATGTTATTAGTATTAATTATTTACTTCAAAATTGAGTAATGACCCAACAGTATTCTTTAAAATGTAATCTAATCCCAAAAATATTGTGAAAACAAAAAAATAAAAATTCCGATTGTATTTAGTACAACATTGGTAGATATTTTCAGCAGATATACGTTATTGAAGGAAGATTTTGTCTAAAGAAGAAGAAAAAAAGATGATCTTCATTGTAGATACTCGATTCACATATAAGGTCATTTAGAAGAGAATATGAGTACTAACACTGTCACCAGATAGTTTTGAGAAAGAACAAAACAAAGGGTACCGATGAGAGGAGAATATACATTTTAATAGAAAGAAAAAGATTTGCAGATTAGAAGAAGAGAGAGAGAGAGAGACAACAAACTTATCGAACAAATAATCTTCCTTTTTCTTCTATATTTCAAATTTTGAAAGTATCGTAATCGATTAATATACTATAAGAAGACTGCTACAGACCTTGACTGACTTCTACCTTGTCAATTCAACAGTATTTCTTTATCTACTCTATTGACCTTGCTGCTATTCTATACACAACTGTTGAAATTATTATTTAGTTCATCGAGCAACTTTTATGAATGTATCGAATGAATTGCACTTGCATATTTAATTATATCAACATATAAGAAAGAACGTCATCAGTTCAGATTAAAAAATCTATCAAATCTATGAGTTCAGATTTTCATGCCATGATTGAGCCTAAAAGACAATAATCTATTATCAAATTTATTTTGATTCAGAAGAATCATGTTACTTTTTATGAAACTATTTGAATTGAATTATGACTAAGTAAAATCACTTAACAGATAAATTCATAAGAACTAAAATAATTCTGATAATGAATTATTATCTGTTAGATCCAACTATGTCATCGAAATCGGGATTCATAGATTTAGTAGACTTTTTAATCTTAATCGATGGGGTCCTTTTGTTATTCAACGATATAATTAATATGTAGAAAAAGAAACAAAGAATATTTAGTGCCCATCGTCTTTTATTACAAACAAAAAATTTATTCTCGAGGTACAATTGGAACTTATTCTTATTTTTTTTTCTTTATCCCTATGTATAGATATCTGGTATATGTCTGATCCTGTCTCGCCATAAACAAAAAAAAAAAGGTGACTTTAAATTCCAAACTTTTTTCTCATTCTCTTTTACGTAACACACTTGCATATATTCTTAATATTAGTATAACAGGGAGAAAGAATTCTACTATAATAAAGAGGTCACGTACTGAATTAGACGAAAGATATTTATATAGCTACATGGTCAATATCTTCAAAACTATAGAAGAAGAAATTCTTTCTTCAATTATTACTCTATAAAACAAACGATTCCGAGAGCTTTATTCTTTTTCCTTTCTTTCTGGGTTTTTTTTTCTGACATAGTTCACAATCAAATTTTTTTTTTCTTGCTTCTTCCATAATCGACGATAATCCATATGATGCATAGAATGATGATAATTCTATTATCAGAATAGAGATAGAGACGTTAATGAAGTCAAATTTGACATCACTCATTCATTAAAAACATGCACGACGAAAAACGAAAATTACTCCAGTTAATAAAAAACGGAAGTTTATATCAAAACTCGTTTAGATGACAGATAAACTTATTGAGTACAAACAGTAGATAGATCGATTTTACAGATCTCTTTAATATCGAAAACTCTTTTTTCCAGTATGAATATAAATAAATTCATTTTGTTCGTCCAATACAAACGTTTCATGATTATCTTCACGAACTACAACGGCTGTTCATCCACATCTACAATCGCATGCGCATAACGAATTAAAAAAACAAAGGAAAAAATGATATTCTACAAAACTTTGTACTTTCATTTTTTAAAAAGCCAAATGTAATATCATCGAAATGAATGGATAAGAATCTGATTTTGCTTTTTCAATCCGTCTGTAATGCATTTTCTGATTTTTCTTTTTAGTATTGAAACGTATTTGTACAAAGTATGTTTTGATCATTTTTAAAATGCCTTTATTGGATGGCAAGAATCTCAATCGGAAAAGTTCTTCGTTTGTTTCATAAAAAATTTAAAAAAGACATTTGGAAAAAATGGTTGAAACAATATGAGTTCATCATTGTTTAAAAACCCAAAAATAGATCTTCTATGGACGAATGAAAAAGTGAAATTTGATTTTCCTGCGGATGTTTAGATTATAGGCTCTTTATAAATGAAAATAATATTTTGTCAGGGGAATGATATACCAGACATCGTACCGAATATCAATGGCGGATCTAGAAAAAATTTTCAGTGCTGGCAGATATGTAGAAAAAGATAATCAGTAGATTGTCTTTATAATAAAAACACAATCGCTGAAAAGTTCTATGCGCTCGGCATGTTGCACAAGAAGGAGGGTATCAGGACTCGAAACAGGCCGACATTTTTGAGGCCTGGTCTGCCTGCGTGAGGCCTTTAATGTTTAGATCTGCCTGAGCCTGTCGATATATTTCCTGGACCTTGCCTGCTTGCCATTACTCTCGGCCCAGCCTGGCCTGGTCTGTAGAAGGCTGTTAATTTCTTTAATAAACAAAATGTACAAATAATAGTACATAAGATGAAACGAAAAGTGACAGATAACTAAACAATATATCTAAGTAAAAAAATTTGATTTTTGTTCAAGTATTTTCTGAACTGATCTGACTAATAAGATATCGTCAACCGTGTCAGGATTTAGTGAGCCAAAATGCTAAATTTTGAATAAAAATACGTAAATTTCATAGGTCAGGCCGCCTGGTGTTTTCAAAGGTCTGCCTGAATCTATTTCAGTCTAGGCCTGATCTACCTTAGCCTGGTGCAGGTCGATAATTTGTAGCCTGGCCTGTTTGTAACAGACACGTCCCTTATACGGCTCAGACAGACAAGCAGGCTGCCTGGTCTGGTTCGAGCCCTGGAGGATATAATAGTATGAAATCAAAAATTTCGATGCTGGCAGTCGCCGGCGCCCTATATAATCCGCCACTGCCGATATATGTGGAATGTGAACTGTACGCATAACATTGTCTATTTCTTTTACTTATTTAAAACGATTTGTTTTTACCTAGGGTATAAAGAACTGATCTACTGTGTATGATGATCTCCTTCGTAGTTTCAATACCAGGACAATAGATCAAATTTTTATTAAGGTGCCAGAAAATCAAAATTTGAGCATGATTTTTTCCACGATATTTATACACGGTTGAATAGAGCTCGTTGAACTGAGTAAGAATATGCGTGTTTTAAGTTTTGAAAAAGGATTTTTATGGGAGAAAATTTTAAAATCTCGAAGGGTATAGAAATCTCAAAAACGCCTCCGTTTCAAAAAACTACAAATTTTCCCCTTTTTTTCTTCCCACTTTGCACAAAGTATTTTTTTCAGATTCAGCACTGAAAACTGAGTATGAATCTGATGTTTGATCGAGGTGAAGTCAAAGATCTATGCAGTATGAACGTTTTGGACTCCTGTAAAAAGTTCATCAACAATTCTGCAAACCGATTAAGTCCTTTTTGTGAAGAGATGAAGCCGCTTTTTTAC